CTCTTGAAGTGGAAATTCTTTTGGGTTGACTGTATGTAACAGAATTATCATAATCTGGCCAAATGAATTTTTTTAGGTAAATACCCCTTATCTCTTAACTTCTTGTTTCACCGGTAAATGTGTTTCCTTATGCATAATATGTTCATTAGACTTGATTGTTATTTTTTGCGTTCTTATGACTCATATTAAATATGGAACAATCCGATACAAGTTGTTCCAAGTGACCAAACAATTCTAAGCAATTCGTGTTCTATCGTCGAATAATTCTATTCGCATTGAATTTGTCATTTTTCTTGAATAATTTATAAAGAGGCTATGCTAATTGAGAGAAATTTTGGATGAATCGTCCGTAATAAGAGGCAAATCCTAGAAGTGCTTGAAGCTTAGTTTGTTTTACACCAACTGAAAAGTTAATTATAGAGGAAATCTTATTGGCATCGAGTCTGATACCTTCCTCGGATATTACGTGCTCGAAATAGATCATTTCTTTACAGAGGAAGTAACATTTATTGGACTGCAACTTAAGGTTATTTCCAGTAAGCGTTGGAATACCTTAATTAACCAAGAGTTACATTTAATAATCGTATCGAAATAAATTTGGTTAACCCATTCTTCTAACTCACGGTTCAAAATTTTACATTATCTATTTGGAGTGTAGCCGAAGCCGCTTAAACTCAAAAAGAAATGCAGGATTTTTTCTAATTAAGCCAAGATCATTGGCGGTTGAAGTACATTTAATACCATATCGAAATAAATTTGGTTAACGTATACTGCAACGCCTCTACCGCAACCAGCCTTGGCTAAACTCTGCTCATCTCTCGACCGCAAGCGACCTCGGTTAAGCTTAGAATTGGGAATGTAGGATTGACCAAACCGAAATCGCTAGCAGTAGCTTGCTTGATTAAGTCACGGTGAAAAATGTTTTCTAATTAAGCTTGTGACCGAAGAATTGCCGAATTAAATCTAATATATTGTAGGTTATCTCATAGATTATTACCAGGTATCGTTCAGGTAACTAAACTCCACGCTACTAAGGCAGGGGTTCCTCCTAAGTAAGTACCTAAGTAAGATTTTTACAAATTTTGCTTTATATATTATTCACGTTTGTTTTAAAAATTCTTTTATATTTTGACAGTTCCATTGGATATTTGATCTTGTTTCTTGATGCTCTTGATTCATTCCATATATGTTATTTTGTTGTTCCTTGGTTTTTCGCCTAAGATTTTCTTAGCTGCATCATTTTGTAGCTGCATCATGTAATCTTGAGGAGTTCAGAGTATTATCTTATAATTAGTATCATATTTTTTCTTTTTTGCATTTTTTGTATCTTTTATCTAGTGTATCTCTATTGTATTGTATAGGTTTGTTAGTGTCTTTCATTCTGTTTTTCCGGACATTATATTATTTTGTATTTTAAGTACCTAATGGTCTGACCCACATTCTAGGCAATCCAATTTATTGTTTAGTTTAGTAATACTATAATCAATTATCGATTAGAGTTGCCTTGTATCTTGATGTCATGCATATTTATGTATTTCTTTATGTTTTAAGAAGCCATTTCGCATTTTCAGTTTTTTTATTATACACAACTCTATTAATCGGGGTCCGTTATTATTGTTTCTTCTCCAAACCTACCCACAATCTTGCTGTTTGTTCTATTGCCTGTTCTTGCGTTTAAGTCTCCTTAGACTATTAATAACATTATTAAAACATTTCTTTTTCTGCTGTCTTCCACCATCATTTGGTGCGTATACTCCAATGATGGTGATTCTGCGTTCCTGCTATACAGATTTTTGCGGATTTTACACTTCCTTACTTTTGTTCTTAGGTAATCTTCTTGGTTTCTATTAACACAGCTATCTGGACTTTATTCGACTTTTTGGACTTATTTTTGTTCACAATCCTTGTACGTTCCACGTTCCTATATTTATAACCTATCCACTGTGTATTATGTCTGATTTTTCCTATGCTTCCGAGGCTCATTTTAAACGTTTTTATCGATTTAACGTTTTAACAAGGGGCAGATTGCTGGTCTAGTCGCCTCAAGCTTCCTTCTTTATCTGGGCTTGGGACCGGTATCGCTTTTCTCTGTGCTACTCGGTCCTCACTTTGATCCGCGATGGTGAAGTTAAATCTTCACGGATACCTTAGTCAACATGAAGAGGCATTCTGCGTTCAAGTCAAATCTTTTTTCCCACAACACATCACAAAGGTATCAATTAGTGATGGAACGAATAGTGATTTTGCGAAAAGCCGGATACCGGATATCCGGTTATTCGGCCATTATGGTTATAATTTCTGGTGCATTTCTGAAGTGATATCCTACATTGCCACATTATTGCGATATTTGAATAAAAATGAAATTAATAAGAAAACTGATAAGATATGTCAACTTATTTGAATCCAAGATACAAAATGAACTTTTTTGATGCTGATTTAACTCACGAAGCAACACTAAAAAGAGGATACTTTAATTAATAATTGGTGATATTTGCACAAGGATCCTTTAAGAAATCAATTTTATAGCGAATTTTGAAAATTATCGATGAAAATTGCAACAACGAAAATTTTATCAAAACTTTAAATATTGTTTTCTCAAAAACTAAAAGCTATTTTTCAAAACGGGTTGGTTCATTGGAATGAGGACACTCTTATTAACACTTTGGGATATTTTCATACTCATATTCCAAGAAATGGATTTTATACGAATTTTTAAACCTTAATCGGTGAAAATTGCAAAATTCGAAAAAATTGTCGATTACTTCAAAAATTTATTTCTGAAAAACTAAAAGCGATTTTTCAAAACGGCTTGTTGCATTAAAAAGAGGATACTTTAATTAATAATTGGTGATATTTGCACAAGGATCCTTCAAGAAATCAATTTTATAGCGAATTTTGAAAATTATCGATGAAAATTGCAACATCGAAAATTTTATCAAAACTTCAAATATTGTTTTCTCAAAAACTAAAAGTTATTTTTCAAAACGGGTTGGTTCATTGGAAAGAGGACACTTTTATTAACACTTTGGGAAATTTTCATACTCATATTCCAAGAAATGGATTTTATACGAATTTTTAAAACTTAATCGGCGAAAATTGCAAAATTCGAAAAAATTGTCGATCATTTCAAAAATTTATTTCTCAAGAACTAAAAGCGATTTTTCAAAACGGCTTGTTGCATTAAAAAGAGGATACTTTAATTAATAATTGGTGATATTTGCACAAGGATCCTTCAAGAAATCAATTTTATAGGGAATTTTGAAAATTATCGATGAAAATTGCAACAACGAAAATTTTATCAAAACTTCAAATATTGTTTTCTCAAAAACTAAAAGCTAGTTTTCAAAACGGGTTGGTTCATTGGAATGAGGACACTCTTATTAACACTTTGGGAAATTTTCATACTCATATTGCAAGAAATGGATTTTATACGAATTTTTAAAACATAATCGGCGAAAATTGCAAAATTCGAAAAAATTGTGGTTTATTACAAAAATTTATTTCTCAAGAACTAAAAGCGATTTTTCACAACGGCTTGTTGCATTAAAAAGAGGATACTTTAGTTAATAATTGGTGCTATCTCCAAAAGCATCTTTCAAGGAATTAATTTTATAGAGAATTTTGATAATTATCGATGATAATTGCAATATGGAAAATTTTATCAAAACTTCAAATATTGCTTTCTCAAAAACTAAAAGTTATTTTTCAAAACATATTGTTTCATTGGAAAGAGGACACTCTTATTAACACTTTGGTAAATTTTCATACTCATATTCCAAAAAATGGATTTTATACGAATTTTTAAAACTTAATCGGCGGAAATTGCAAAATTCGAAAAAATTGTCGACTATTTCAAAAAGTTATTTCTCAAAAACTAAAAGCGATTTTTCAAACCGGCTTGTTGCATTAAAAAGAGGATGCTTTAATTAATAATTGGTGATATTTCCACAACGATCCTTCAAGAAATTAATTTTATAGCGAATTTTGAAAATTATCGATGAAAATTGCAACATCGAAAATTTTATCAAAACTTCAAATATTGTTTTCTGAAAAACTAAAAGTTATTTTTCAAAACGTGTTGGTTCATTGGAAAGAGGACACTCTTATTAACACTTTGGGAAATATTCATACTCATATTGCAAGAAATGGATTTTATACGAATTTTTAAAACTTAATCGGCGGAAATTGCAAAATTCGAAAAAATTGTGGATTATTTCAAATAGTTATTTCTCAAAAACTAAAAGCGATTTTTCAAAACGGCTTATTGCATTAAAAAGAGGATGCTTTAATTAATAATTGGTGATATTTCCACAAGGATCCTTCAAGAAATGAATTTTATAGCGAATTTTGAAAGTTATCGATGAAAATTATTATCTGCAGTGTCCAACATCTAAAAGAGATACTAATTCCTGTGAATGGTGGAGTACTAAGTAATAGGTTTTTAATATCCGGCCAAAGCCGGATATTTGGTAACTATCCGGTATCCAGCCGGATATCGGATATTCGTTCCACCACTAGTATCAATGAATCAGATCCAACTAGGGATGGCGATTTCTGTTGTTGACCAACAATAACTATTAACCTATACATATTTCAAAAAAATAAGTTAAGAGCTTTTTATTGTTTAAGATATAAAACTTAAAAATAACGTTATGTGCAAGAAACTTATCATTTTGAATAATAAATAATTTATAGGATGTACTTTACTAGTATGTACGCATAACTACTTAGAATTGGTAGTGTACCGATTTAAAAATGACATAAACGCCCATTTCTTTGTTTACAAGTGGATGGCGGCAAAGTCGATCACGATTGGTAGACATTTGCCGTAAATAATAGATTTGAGTCCGCGTTCAGGGGGTCGTAACCCGCCCGTGTCGCTAGCCACGACTCTAAACACCCTGAATTTTTTATAAACATGAGAAAACGTACAGTTGTTTTACGAAAAATGTTATGAAATAAAAAGAAAATACACGAAATGTAAAATCCCAAATCAAAATGATACCTACTTAAAATTAATTATTACTGTGTAGATGGACGACAATCAGCACATGAGAAATGAATCCTTGTGTAAAGTTTGCGGGGATAAAGCTTCCGGAAAACATTATGGAGTGGCTAGTTGCGATGGTTGTAGGGGTTTCTTCAAACGAAGCATTCGAAGGAATTTGGAATATGTTTGTAAAGAAAATGGAAGATGTATTGTTGATGTTACAAGAAGAAATCAATGCCAAGCGTGTAGATTTAGAAAATGTCTTCAAGTCAATATGAAAAGAGATGGTAAGAAATATAAAAAAAGCTGTAATTGTTAAAAAAAGATATCAATTAAAATTTCTATTAGATAAAAACGAAGTTTACTTAGTTTGCATGCATGTGAATTCCAACATGTGTCTCTTAGGTTCCCCTACAATTCTGTGCTTTTGTAACCGTACACGACGCCCTCTACCCATTAGACCCGTCATTATGTCAATGGTTCAACCCCTTCACCGTGCACCGTCAGACCTACACTCCAAGTAATGGTTATTATGATAACCCTTTTGAATAATTCAAAAATGTAGAAAATATAGATTGATAGAGATAGATATATTTCATGAAGAAACTAACTTTTGTAACGTGTTTCTTGATAAATCATTATGGTATTTAAATTAATCAAAATTATCATGTAAACATATCTTGAGAAATACCCCATATGAAGTAAACACTCAAAAAAATAACTAAAATGGGGGTGGCTGTTAAAGAAATGCAAGTGACATATTGACATATAACACCCTCACCAGACGCATCCCCTCCGTAGTCGCAGTCATACCCAGATATTTATTCTGCATTTTGCAAATATTGGGTCACTACCTCATCGAATGAAACCTATCCGATGTTCGGTTTCAGCGGTTCAACACGAAAGAGCACCACGATCCATACAAAGTACATTGAGCGTGCATTATCCGTTGGGTTTGGGGCCGTCGAGATACCACCGAGAATTTCATCACGGCGGACCGTTTTTGACGACAAATTTACCTTTAGGCGCCGCCGCGACGCTTGATCCATCTACAGGCATCGGCATCGCCGCCGCCGCAAATCCGTACGTTCAACATGCTGGTTTACTTTATCCAGCTGCGGTGTTCGGAGGATTTAATAAACCGTTATGTTTTGGTAAATATTAAATCAAAAATTAATAAACTTATAAACTTTTTTTATTTTTTAGCAAATAATACACATTTAGCTCAAAAACCATCGACTTTTTTAACCGCCGTTAACATGACTTCTCGCCAAGGAAGTCTTATTAAGGATGATGAAGTTAGTAGTAGTGAAGAAAGTTTTAAAAGAAATGGTATTTATCTATCTTACGGCCGGTTGTATAATATGCCGATAAATCTACCTGATAACTATCCCGCCGATAAACTTATCGGAAGGATAAAGATATTCGCTGTTGTCATTGAGATCTTATATATAATCTAGAGTGCGTATGTGGTGGTGGTGGGGGTAATCAGAAAGTCAGACATGTTGGATGTACCGACCTGAACTTAGCTACAGTTTCAAGTCTCTATTGTACCTACAATTGAGGAGTAGAAGTAACAAAGGTGCTAAGTGCATATTTTGCCAAAAAATAAGATACAGTGGAACCTCGATAATCCGTGTCTCTATTAACCGTTTTTCTCGATAATCCGTGCGAAGCCCTCATTTCAAATATCCGTGCATTTCAATGTTTTGAACCCAGTTAATCGTGCGAAACCAGTTTTGCAACCGATTCGTTGGCGCGTCAGTTCTACTACATACTAGTTATTGCTTATGCTTATGAATTTTATTAATTAATTTATTATACGTCTCAAAACGTTTCTATAATAGTGCGTGTTTTATTTATACAAGGTAAGAAGTTACTGTTTTTGTATGAAATATGTAGATGTTCATGAATGTTTTCGTATAGTTTAGGCTCTGTGCTAAACTAAAGTACACTACCAAAAATGGATGCAAAGAGAAAGAAAATTGTTCTAACCGTCGGAACAAAGCTAAAGTTGATTGAACGTCACGAGAAAGGGGATACTGTTTCAAAGTTAGCTAAAGAATACAATATTAGATTGCAAACTGTTCGAGATATTGTACGACAAAAAGAAAATCTCTTAAAATTCACTTCGCGGACCGATTCACTAAAAGGAACAGCACATCGTAAATCAACAAAACCCTCCACACTAGAAGAGTTAGACTATGCGGTATACCATTGGTTCAAACAAAAACGCACAGAAGGCCATCCAGTTAGAGGACCACTGTTATTAGAGAAAGCACAATGGTTTCATCAAAAGATGAACATTCAAAAACCTTTTCAAGCATCACAGGGATGGTTACATCGATTCAAATTACGTCATGGAATACGGCAGCTTAATATTCAAGGTGAAAAATTAAGTTCCGATAAAAGCGCTGCAGAATCATATCTTATAGAATTTAACCGTTTAATCGAAACATATGAGCTCACATTGGAGCAAGTGTATAACGCCGATGAGACCGGTTTCTTTTGGAAACCGATGCAAAATGAAAAAAATGCTCCAGGTCACAAATCTAGTAAGGAACGTATAACATTAATGCCCTGTGCCAATGCTAGTGGAAGCCATAAATTACCACTGTTGTGCATAGGTAAATCAAAAAACCCAAGATCATTCAAGGGAACCGAAATGAAACATTTTCCTGTTTGTTATAAATATCAAACAAAGGCTTGGATGAATCAAGACATTTTTAAAGCTTGGTTTTTTGAAGAATTTGTTCCTTCAGTTAAGAAACATTTGAAATCAAAACACTTACCCGAAAGAGCAATGCTCTTATTGGATAATGCTCCCTCACATCCAGAAGAACGTACATTACAAACGGCTGATGGTCAAATTTTTGTGCAGTATTTGCCTCCAAATGTTACGGCTTTATTACAGCCGATGGATCAAGGGGTAATAGAGGCTTGCAAGCGCCGCTTTAGAAAAATAATGTTGCGGCTTCTTTTAGAAGCAGATTGCTCACTGAAAGAATTTTGGAAGAAATGGAACATCAAAGATGCCATATATGCGGCAGCAGAGAGTTGGGGTGATGTTCCAAATGTAACAATACAAAAATCTTGGTTCAAAGTTTGGCCACAACTTACAGAAAATTTTAGTTCCTCCAAAAATGAAGAATCTACTGTAGTGACGTCTAGGCAACTCTTGAATGGCATACAAAATGTTGTAGAATTTGAATTTGTAGACATAACCGACATTGAGGAATGGTTACACTGCGATAAAAACGAACCGGGTTATGAAGTTTTAAATGACACACAGATTGCAACAATTTCGGAACCTACAGCAACCGATGCCACCGATGAGGAAGATGAAGACGAAAACGTTTCTACACCAGAAAAAAAAGTTCCACCAGAAGCTGCACTCTCACATGTAGACGGGCTATTAAGTTTTTTAGATCAACAAAATGATACAGATCACATAGATGTTTTGAACTTGCGGAAAATTCGTTCCAACATATGTNTGGTTTTTTAGTAATTTTTAGCAGTCGTAGATAAAATGCTGTATATCACACGTGGGCTAGAGCATAATTACAGTACTCGTGTGATTACACGACTCGGTCTACGACCTCGTCGTGCAATTCTCCACACTCATAAAGTAATTATGTTTCTAGCCCACTTGTAATATAAATAACTATTATTAAATAAACATATTAATCTAAACTCTGTTACAATTGGCGCCCAACTAAGTGGCTCGAAGTGCCGGAAAGTGAAAACGAATTGAAAGAAAGGTTTTTTTTTAAAGTGACGTTCACTTCTAGCATATCGTGTTCGTAAATTAATTAATAATCACGCCTAACGCACCTAACGCGTCGGTTTCTCGAACGTAGTTTCGCTCGCCGCGTTGTTGTCAATATGCCGCCAAAGAAGGATGTTAACCAAGAACCAGATAGCCTGCTGAATTCAATAACATTTTCTACAGAACAGTTCTATGAATTGTTGAGGGAAATAAAAAAAACTGGAGTAACCACTCCCAAATTGACACAACAGATTGGAAGCTTCATCAATTGTACTTCGCGATTTCGAGGTAATCCTGATGAAGACGTTGACGCTTTTCTGGACGCTGTCATAACCTACAAAGAATGTGCCGATGTTTCGGATGAGAACGCATTACGCTGATTATCGATTTTATTTGAAGATCTCGCTGCGATTTGGTGGATTGGTGCAACAATTCCGGACTGGAAAACAGCTGTAGAGGCTTTAAAAAATACCTACTCGCGTAAGTTACCGCCATACCTCGTGTTTCGTGAACTTTTTGCTAAAGAACAATCCGAAAATGAACTTACCGAACATTTTGTGTGCCGTGTTCGATCTTTGATCGCCCAATTACCGTATAGCATATCGGAAAGGATGCAAATAGACATGATTATGGTTTATTGCGAAAAACACTCCGCCGTCGGTTGATTATTTCCGAATTAGTTTCATTTGAAGTACTAAACATAACATTTTGGACATTTGGAAGCTGAATGTCGAAAGAAGAATAAGACCTCTTAACAAGAAGTCGCTGTCAAACTAAGCGTTGAAAAGAAAGAAAATTCAGTGCTAAAATGTTTTGGTTGTCAAACTCCAGGATACATCAAGAGTAACTGCCCGAAGTGTAGCGCAAAATCTAACCGAAAGGAAGACCGAGCTGAATTTCAGCTGGCAAACACGATCGAAACTGACGTTCCAGACAAGGATATCAGACCTATGGTTAAGGTGAATATCGTTGGACACGATGGACTCGCCTGTTTTGATACAGGAGCCAAAAGAAGCTTAGCAGGTACACAACTGTACCAGTTACTACTCAAAGATCAATTACCGTTTCGTACCGAATTCCTGAAAATGAAATTCGCCAATGGTCAAGAACAGTCTGTTCAAACAAAGATTTTCAATACCTCGATTATTATAGAAGGTCATTCGTTTTCATTTGAATTGCTCGCTATTCCTGAACACAGTAACAGCAACATGTTACTCGGTGCTGATTTTATTGACACCGCAAACATTGTCATTGATATCTCCCAACGATAATGGTACTTTACACATAAGCCTGAAAGAAAACATGACTTCTACAAGAAAGAATGTATGGAAGTAATCACCCCTCAAGTTGAAAATACGATTGATGTGAGCTTGAATGTTGATGAATGTTCTACTCTCGATTCTGATCAAATATCGCAATTGAACCAATTACTACATGAAAATATCGAAATGTTCTCGCCAAGTTCGGAACCAACTCAGTATGCAGAGCATTGCATAAGACTTGCCAACGATATTCCTATAGCCGTACCTCCTTACCGATTGGCAGAACCAAAGAGAAAATTCTTAGAAAAGGCAATCCAGCAGATGATTGAGGATGACATCATTGAAGAGTCGGATCCCGCCTATGCTTCACCAGTTGTATTGGTGCCAAAGGCAAACAAATCTGATCAATATCGTGTATGTGTCGACTACCGGAAGCTGAATGCTATTACCGTACCAGATCGGTATCCCCTCCCACGATTGGACGACCTTTTACATGAAGCAAAACAAACTGCCTTTATGAGTACGCTAGATTTACGATCCGGATATTGGCAAGTAGCTGTTCGACCTGAAGATCGGGACAAAACTGGTTTTGTTACCCCATTATCGTTTTAAACGCATGCCTTTTGGATTAAGAAATGCACCTGCAACCTTTCAAAGGATGATGGACCGTTTCAAGACAACATTACCGGATGTTACAATCCTTGTCTACATTGATGATATTGTGATTCTATCACCCACCTTTGAAAAACATCTAAACGACTTGAGAAGGGTATTTGAAAAGCTGAAGATGTTCAAGTTACGCGTAAATCGAGAAAAATGTACTTTCATGGCTCCAGAGGTAAAATACTTAGGACACAGTATTACACCTGAAGGTATAAAACCAAACATGGACAAGATTGCCGCTATTATTAAAATACCAAAACTGAAAAATGTTCGTGAACTCCTAACATTCCTTCAAACAGTTTCGTGGTTTCGTAAGTTCATCCCTGGTTGTGCCGGAATCATGAAACCTCTCACTGAGCTTACCAGGAAGAATGCTGAGTGGAAATGGGAATCTGCACAAGATTGCGCTTTCGAGAAATTGAAAACCTTTTTGTCAACTGCACCCATTCTACAACAAGCTGACCCTTCCCAACCATACATCTTACGTTGCGNTCCAAATAACTGATTTCTTTAACCAATAAATAAATTTGAAACATGTTGTTCAATTTATATTGTCTGTATATATGTACTCTATAGTTCCTGTTATTTTCATAATAAAGATTTAAACACTATTATATGCCTTTCATTTATCCGTGCATTTCAATTATCCAGCAACCCTCAACCGGTCATTAGACCGGATAATCGAGGTTCCACTGTATTTCTATAGACAGGTTCTATGTGCCATTGACTATATCCTATCAAACGGGTAAAGTGCCAGGACTTTAAATTTCGTCAACAATCAGGCAGATAGGTGATGCTTTCTGCAGGTGCTCGGTCATTTCCACATCAAACGAGTCAAGTACCATAGTAGGCATTGTTGTGTTGAGCGTTCGTTCTTTTTACATCCAACCGGAATACGAGTATATCGTTTCGTGTCACACGGCTGCTGAACAGTGTAAAGTGAACTGCAAAATGAATTTATAACGTCGCAAACAAGGATTAGAAAGATTAAGTGATGAACAAAGACAACGAAAAAATGCAGGACAATCCTATAAAAGCAAAAATGGAAATGCTGTAGGTGAAAAAAGGAGACCTAATCTAGAAGTGAGTTATTATTTTTAATATAGTTGTACGTGTGTAAATAATGCCATGAACTAGAACCATATTTTTTTGTGTAAACCTTAAAACTCTTACAGATAACAGGTAAATGCAAATTCAGGTGCAAGTCGTTGAATTACGCAAATAGATTAGCTCTTTTTGAAAAATACTACAAGTGCAGAGTTGACGTCCGTGGAAAATACATCATGGGTTTAATACAGTTGACTGGCATGAAAAGGAGAAGGCATGGCTCATATGAAGACCCTCATGACAGTCATCGTCAAACATCGATGGAGAGGGTAATATTGTAGTTGTTTGTAAATTTACTTTTATGAATACTTTTGCTTTGACAAAAAAGTATTTGGAGACTATTATACAAAAGAAAAAAAGCGGCTCATGAAAAAGGACATCGCGTCATCATAACTGCCAGGAAGCAACACGAGTGTATTCTCAGTGGATTTAGAACAAGTCATATTCGTAAATACATTGATGCACTCTGACATGTTTTACTTGAGCCAACTTTCATGCTATAACTTAGGAATCAGCTTTGGGGATAAGACACATTCATACATGTGTTGCTGGCATGAAGGAGTGGCAGGACGTGGCGGTAACGAGATTGCGTCTTGCTTATTACGCGTCCTAAATATGGGACGCATTACAGAAAAAAAGGAATGTTATTATTTGGAGCGATAACTGTACCGCCCAAAATAAAAACAGAATGATTGTATTTATTTACGTGTTTCTAGTGACTTGTGGACTCTTTGACACCATCGAACATAGGTATCTTGTCAGTGGAAAAAGCTTCCTTCAGTAAGACAGAGATTTCGCCTTGATGGAGAAAAGAAAGCGTAAGTGCGCTCCGATGGTACCTGAGGACTTACACGATGTAATAATATCAAGTACACACACAGNTGGTTGTACCGGAATCATGAAACCTATCACTGAGCTTACCAGGAAGAATGCTGAGTGGAAATGGGAATCTGCACAAGATTGCGCTTTCGAGAAATTGAAAACCTTTTTGTCAACTGCACCCATTCTACAACAAGCTGACCCTTCCCAACCATACATCTTACGTTGCGATGCGAGTGGTTATGCAATTGGATCAGCTTTACTCCAGGGGGAGCCTCCAAACGATCGTCCAATAGAGTATGCAAGCCGACTTTTGACAGACGCTGAAAGAAATTACAGTACTACAGAGAGAGAAGCATTGGCTGTAGTATGGGCTACCGAGAAGTTTAGTGGTTATATAGAATCATCTCAAATCTATGTTATTAGCGACCACCAACCACTTAAATGGTTGATGTCAATTAAATCGCCGAGTGGCCGTCTCGTCAGATGGGCACTTAAACTGCAAAGTTATGATATACAGATAGATCATACTCCTGAAAAATTCAATGCTGATCTTTACCGTCGCGCTGGACCTTCCTACGCTATTGGGGATAAGGTCTTGGCTGACGTACATGCCTTAAGTAAAAGCAAAGCTACCTTCACCAGCAAGTTTGCACCTCGTCGTGATAGTCCGTATCTAGTTGCGAAAGTTGTGACCCCAACAACATACCAAATCGTATCACCCGAAGAACCAGACAAAAGTTTGGGCACTTATCATACCTCTTCATTGACGCCATACCGATCACTACAAGGGGAAATAGACTCGCAACCGCTGCAGCCGATCCGCCGCCGAGGCAGACCCTGTAAACAACAACCCATATTGGACAACACGCGAGACGCCAGTTCCGTCCAAAGGGGGAGGTTGTAACGAATATATGATTGCCGCGTCATCTAGTCCGCGTTGTACGCGTATCCAAGCAGCGTGATGACAGAAAAATATTAAAATAATAATAAGCATCGTGTGAAACGTGTATGCTGTTAATTATATTGTAATATGTTTTATTAAATAAACATATTAATCTAAACTCTGTTACAATCTTATATATAATCTTGAGTGCGTATGTGGTGGTGGTGGGGGTAATCAGAAAGTCAGACATGTTGGATGTACCGACCTGAACTTAGCTACAGTTTCAAGTCTCTATTGTACCTACAATATAACTCACAATTCTCATAAACATATTGTTATTTTTTTTAAAATTTTTTTTTGTTGAAGGTTTTCGAATTCTTTTTGTTTCACATATGTTTTTTATGTTTATGTTTTTTATAATTTGGTAGGTTGGAAGATTATTTATAACAGTCCATAAAATGTTTCTGGTTACTTGACTTGAAATTAACAATGAAGTTCAAGTAAAGTTTATTATTAAGGAATGTTCAGTTCTTTTAAAATAAACTAACAATTATTTATAAGCAAAAGGTTAACGTGATCAATCAGAATTGTTTTAAATATTTTCTTCTTAGTTTATGTTAATTATAAGGGTTATTGTTAAAAATTATTAAGTTCTTTTAAAATATCATATAATTAATAATTATTTATCAATAAAAAATTAATGT